GTATATTATACAGAGTTACAATTCCCATCCTTATCGAGTGGCAAGATTTCAGCGCGTAATAAATAAGAAAAGTTTATTAACACTCGAAATAATGATTTTACAAGACGATTGATAAAAGAGGGATTTAATTAACCGCAGCTCGTCGAGTATCAAGAAATTGAAGCAGAGATTAAACGAGTCGACCGGTTTCTTCCCAATTATTCCGTGCTCGTTTTGCCAAACTCTGAATCCATGCATCAACGGTTGCCAGTGAACTTCGTCCCGAATGGAATAACTTGAAGAGGAAGAAGAAGAAAAAGAATTTCTACTTTCCAGAGTCGATCGATCAAGCTCCCTAACAGTCATCAAGAGCAACGTTATGCCGAGAAATTACCGAGAACGTGATTTTCTCGGTTCCTTAAGCGTCGTGCGAGCAAATCGCGGTCGATTAATCAGAGAATTACTGAAGTAACACACCAAGTCCAAGTAGCCTCGAGGCCACGAAGTCCCGCACGACCGTTTCGCAATTAAAGAAGTGTTAATTTCTCGCATAGCTGCGCGATTTCGGAATTTACCATTTTTGATTCTTCATTACCTTCTCGGCTATCGTCCCACAATTTCCCTTTTCGATGCCTGCGAGAAATTTAATTCGGAGCTTTGGAAATTCGGAACTTTCGAAGCACCGAAACGTCCAAGATTTGGAACTTTAAGAACTCCAAGCACCGAAAATTCTAAAGTCCAAGATTTGGACGCTGAGATTTCACAGCTTTGGGAATTTGGAACTTTGAGAACTCGAAGCACCGAAAATTCTAAACGTCCAAGATTTGAACGCTGAAATTTCAAAGCTTTGGGAATTTGGAACTTTGAGAACTCCAAGCACCGAAAATTCTAAGCGTCCAAGATTTGAACGCTGAGATTTCCAAGCGTGGGAATTCGGAACTTTAAGAACTCGACGCACTGAAAATTCTAAGCGTCCAAAATTCGGAACCCTGAAATTTCAAAGCTTGGGAATTCGGAAGTTCAAGAACTCGAAGCACCGAAAATTCTAAGCGTCCAAAATTTGAACGCTGAGATTTCCAAGCGTGGGAATTCGGAACTTTAAGAACTCGAAGCACCGAAAATTCTAAATGTCCAAAATTTGAACGCTGAGATTTCCATGCGTGGGAATTCGGAACTTGAAGAACTCGAAGCACCGAAAATTCTAAGCGCCCAAAATTCGGAACCCTGAAATTTCAAAGCTTGGGAGTCCGAAACTTGAAGACCTCGAAGCACCGAAAATTCTAAACATCCAAAATCCGGAGCGCTGAGAATTCCAAACGTTGAGAATTGAAAGCGCGAACAACTCCAAGTTGAAATTTCTAAGCCGATGCTTTTCGTGGTTACGTATAAATTGTCCTTATCAATTAAAAGTGTCAATTCGTAACCACTGACGCAGTAGAATTTGCATCGAAACATCAATCGAGATTATTTAGAAGAATATCCTTGGGCTGTACTAATCGCTCGTCGACGTAATAATTCGCGAGGAAATATTTCGTGCAAGGTGCGCCTGTTCGGCAATTTTATTTACGCATAAATTAAACAGTTTTTTCTTCCAACATCTTCATCCGTAAGAGTTGTCATTGGCTGCGTGACTATCCTCGAAACGCGGTAGCATCGATTTGTCATTTTCGTTCGAATCAATCTTCTGTAACGTTTGCTCGGTCTAAAAAAAGCCACGTACAATCGTTAAATTATTCTGTTGGAGATTAAATTATTGATTCCTTTCCTTATTTGAAAGGATAATTTTTAGATAACTTGGAAAATAGTGAACGAGGGACTTTGCTCGCGTTTTCATTTGATGACATGAAACCGAGATAGCCTACGCGATATATCAAATTGAAACTTAAGAAAATGGCTACGTAAGTATTTCATAAACAGTTTGATTACATAGTGGCTGAATCTCGGTTACCACCACGAAGCGCATCAGTCGGTTCACAAATTAGCAGTTGTCTATCTCAACGACTAACCAGCCATTTTATATTAAAAATATCGCTGGGTTCTTTATATAATCGCCTTGTACAAACTTTAAGCTTCAATCTGCCGCACCGTAAACGGCATTTTGTGATACTTTTATGTCATCGAATCACGCGAGATTTTTTCCATTCCGAAACGGGTCGTTACCTATGAAACGTCTTCGAAGCTGCTCGACTCGTATGAACTCGAACTTGAATTCTCAAGTAACTCGACTGATCCGAACGAGGTTTTAATCCCGTCGATTAATCGTCGCTGGTCAGACCCCGAAAAGAGAGAGGCGAAACACCACACGAACAGAAAGAACGATCGCGTTACGTGGGCCCCGACGCGCGAACTTGACACCGGCAAGGACGCGTTTCGAAAGGAGGAAATAAAAAAGAAAAATACACTGGTCCCAGACCGTTAAAGGACGTGGCGAGTCAGCTGTTGAAGACGCACGCAACAACGATCGCCGAATAAATCACGAGTAAAAGGATCGGCCAGACGTTACTTGTCGAGGTCGAAACTAGCCAACAGAGAATTAAAGAAGATCCCGCGAGAACCGCGAGAACAACTAACGGGATACTCGCTCAACAATCTTTTTTCTTATTTGTGGCCTCCGGTGAGTCCCGAGCATCGTTTCGATCTTATTCCGGCCTTTTATTTGACACGCGAAAATGAGTTTCAAAAGAGATTGCGGAAATTCATTGACGATCTAAAGCGCTCAGAATTCCAGTTTGTGGACTGTCAAAAATTTGGAACATTCCTAATAACTCCTTCCATGTCTTATTATTCCGATTGCTACTTTAAGTGCTACCGTTTACGTTTCACAAATGAAAGACTTAATTAAAACTTCAGTTAAACAGATGAATGTATTTTTCAACAGTCATTTATATTTATTTTTCAAATATATAAAGTAGAAATCGAATCGTGATTGATTTGCTCCGTTCGTTTTCTAGAATCGAAATCGATCGTGCCTTGATGTTTCTCGCTCGACTTGCCGGGTATTCTAGTTGACTTCCGGTGATCGAGGACACTTCTGAATCATACTTACAATCGATCCTGCCTACTACATTTATTAAATATTCTCTTCTCAGCGCGAATACGAGCGGCGCTTTAATTTCCAGAGCATCTCGTCATCTGTATTACAAGAGATTGTATTTATCTAATTCGATACACTCGCACGAGATGTCTGAATGAAATTATGAATGATAGAAAGCAGCGCGTATCGATATCGCGATCTACGTGTAAAATACGAGAGCATCGACACTGATATAGAAATCGATTATCCTTCGAAGGTCGTATAATCATTCTTGTATTCCTGGGGCGTGGCACGGTGCTATCCGAGAATGGAATCTGTCGTTTTACGTAACAATCACGAGCAATCCGCGATCAGCCAGGAAACCGATCGTATTTTGCCATCGTTCCTCGCGTGTCTAGGATAGTTTCTACGATTCCTCTTCGCGTCGTCCTGGTGCGATATCCTCTCATCCCCGATCGTTTCGTCTTTCCAAGAACTCGGAACACGCATCCTCGTAATTTCAGGACGGAATCTCGTGACCCCGGTGAATTACTTGTTGCTTTTCAACTCTGCTTTTCGAGGTCGAACGTTGGAACAAACAAACTCGAAGATCAACGATGCTGTTAATTAACCATTCTACTTTGCAACGCGTCGCAGATTCGATTACGAGAATTCGAGGCACTCGGAATTTAAAGGGCCGAGATTTCGGGGCGCTGGAGAGATTCGGCTCATTTAGAATTCGATGCAAGAAAATTTCAGGGTGTAGGAAACTGGGTGTGCACGAAGTGCCGAGAATTTAGAGCGGTATCGCCTCGACGCTCGATGATTCATCGCTAACGAGTCGACTATTACACGACACTGATTAGGATAACAACGTGCTGTCAAACGCGAGCACCGAGTTTTCGAAGGCTCTAGGTATATAGAAAGGATTAAAATTGAACTCCGGAGATATTTTCAAGCTGTTACTCGTGCTCGAAAGTGGCTGCGGCCTAATGAGGATTCAGTCTTGAACCGGTCCATTGATGGTGAAATTATAGCCGTTGATCGAGGTGGATTCGTGGAATCACCGGAAGTCAGCACAACTTTGTTTCCACGCCAGAAACACGACCACTTTTTTTCTCCTCGTGGAGGGTGGTATCAATTAGATCGGACAAATTAGAACACCTGTCGAGTCAATATTGATACCGTTGCAGAAATCGTGGCGAGCAAAAGCGGTAATGAGCCATCCTCTCGGCTCAACGTTGCCATCTTCTTTTCCACGAACGACCAAGCAGAACACGAGAGAAAACGAAGGAAAAAATAAGGGGAAAAAGAGATATTTAAGGCTACCGACGAACGAACTACCGTACAAAGAGAACCGAGACACCGCGAGCAACGAACAAAAAGGGGCAAAGAGTAACGGAGAAGGCGAACGACGAAAAGAGCGAGCGAGAGAGAGAGGAAAAGAAACGAAATAAAAAAAAAGACATGGAAAGGAGGAATTAAGAGAGGAAGAGGGAAGAGAGAAGGAGATCTCTATGCGGTAGCTAAAGCCAGTCAGTCAGGTATGCCTGCAGGCTAGGCCATGATAGACAAGGTCATCCTCTCCCCGCTTTACACGTACGCTCTGGCTACCGCCAGTCCTCGTTTACATTTATTTATTTATAAATATACTTACCGCGAGTGGTCGGCTAATGTGCCACCAGAGGGAGAGACGGGTAAGGTCTAGATGAAATCGAAAGATCGGAGGGAAACGGGAGCGAAATCGAACCGGTCCAAACGGTGCATCGCGCGGTATTTTAACGATCTAATTGTAAGATTATTTAATTACCGCACCCAGTTTATCGTTACTTACGAGTCTTTCGTCGATTCGTAGTACCCGTTTCGAGTTTAACCTAGGTCGTTCCCAAAGCCGGTAATTCGAGACTCCCAGCCAATACCCATATTCAAATTTATTGTCTATATATGTATATCTTTATCGCGTAGAATCCTTTCTGTATAACTTACGAGAGTCGTCGATTGATTACAGATCTTCGGTAGCAAGGCGGACCTGCAGCTCCACACGCAGATCCATATGCGCGAGGCGAAGCCGTACAAGTGCACCCAGTGCTCGAAGGCGTTCGCGAACTCCTCGTACCTGTCGCAGCACACCAGGATCCACCTGGGCATCAAGCCGTACCGCTGCGAGATTTGCCAACGGAAGTTCACCCAACTGAGCCACCTACAGCAGCACATCCGCACGCACACCGGCGACAAACCGTACAAGTGCCGGCATCCAGGTTGCACGAAGGCGTTCAGCCAGCTGAGCAACCTACAGAGCCACTCCCGGTGCCACCAGACCGACAAGCCGTACAAGTGTAACTCCTGCTACAAGTGCTTCTCCGACGAGCCCAGCCTGCTCGAGCACATACCGAAGCACAAGGAGTCGAAGCACCTTAAGACGCACATCTGCCAGTACTGCGGCAAGAGTTACACCCAGGAAACCTACCTGGCCAAGCACATGCAGAAACACGCGGAGAGAACGGACAAGAGACCACCTATCATCGGTACCGGACTCAGGCCGTCGATACACGCGATGACCGCCCATCATCAGGATCACTATTGGCCGAAAGTCAGTCCGGACTCGGTGATCAGCGACCTGCACGAGCGATTGCCGCATCATCACACCGACTACCATCAGAACCAGAACCCGGAGATGCTGTTACCCGGTCACGGGCATCGCGGCGAGTCCATAGAGAACGACTCGAGGCAACAAACGCCTCAACCGGGCGCGCCGAATCATCATCCGAACAGCAGCTCGGCGTTCACGCCGATCTCCTCGATCTCGATAAACTCGATCTCCTCCATGCAGCATCCGCTCAACCCGTTGAACCACCTGCATTATCCGACCAGCCATCATCCAGCCTCCAGGCCGTACCTCTACGAAGCCTTCAACTCGACGCAGAAGTCCTCGCCGGCCTCCTCCTCGTCCGGTGTCACGTCCGGCACCACCACCAATCAGAACGCCACCTCGTTCCCGAACCAGCTGATCAGTCTGCACCAGATCAGGAACTACGCGCACCAACCGAATCTGGGCAACCTGGGAAATCTGGGCAACCTGGGCAATCTCAGCAATCTGAGCAATCTCAGCGCGACGATGGAGAGCCACGCTCTTCTCGGCGGACTCAAGGAGAAACAGTAACTCCGGCTGGTCTCGAAGATTAGGAACAAACCGCTATTTCTCCTCGGTTTCTTCTTCTACTTCTTCTTCTTCTTCTTCTTCTTCTTCGTTTTTGTTTCTTGCGATAGTGTCCCTTCCCTTTCGATCGTCCCGTTCGACGACTCGATCCTCTCCGTCGATTTTCTCCCTTCGACTCGAAGGGTAGCGCGTCGATCGATCTTACCGATCCGAGCTACCCTTCGACCTTCCTTTCGACTATCGTGTAGATCTTGCACGACCATTTAGAACCTATTTTACGGTGTGTGCACGCATCCGATCACGAGTGATTCTAAATCGTTCCTGTTCGATTAGCCGCGGTGCTAGGTGCTGATTAATTGCCTCCTGCTGTTCCGGAATACCCTTTCTTTTGCTTCGACGCCGTTTCGATCATTTTCTAGCCGGTGTACCGTTAAACGTGAAAGTTACATCGCGGAGTCGTTAACGCTTTTATTAGGGATATACGATCGTTTGCTTTTTAAATTTCTCTTTTTCGTTATTAACCCTCGAATGCTGGGCAAGCGGATCGTTTCGGACCTTCGAGACGGAGCTAACGTTCGGAAAAAGAAAGATTTTGCTACATTGACAAGTTGTTCGTAATGTAGGAAAAAAACGGTCACCGTCTCGACGATCCATCGACCGCGAGTCGAACACGACGAATACGCTCGTTTCCCGATGATCGATCTCAAGAACGATCGAGGCGCCTGCAGATCCCCGTTTGCTGGTCAAATGCAAATCAGGCCGGGCTTTTAAATCGTTTTAATGCTACCGGGCATCCATGCATGAAGAGCGAAATATTAGAAAGTCCGTTCGATACGGTATCCGTATCGATCGGGACTTCCCCTTATATCGGTTCGCCGTGAATCGGCAGGATCGATCCCGATCACCGGTCAACCTCGATGTAACCAATCGTTTTACTTCTTAGCTGATTAACTTTCACGTTTCGAAGTTGCTTAGAAAGTAACCTGCTAGAACGATTATCGAATAAAACTGTGTTTCTCGGACGACTTGTTCGACTTGCCAAAGCAAATAGTCACCGACAAAAGAAGAGGAGAACCCTGGCACCGCGTTATCGATTGTTAGCTAAACGTTCCCTAAACTACTTTCGAAGGTTCCATAAAGTTCCAAGCTTTCTTCGTCCTTTCGCGCTTCTCCCGGTCTCGGATCTCTTTAGGTTTATTAATAGTATCGATTGCCTTTTTTTCCACGACTCTGATCTACCTTCTCTGTTTGCCTTTTGGGTTCTTGATCCACGCTGGTCCCATCGGTATCGCTGATCCTTCGATCCGTGTGTACCGCTTCGTTGTTTGTTTGTAATTTTTTCTAGATGACATTTATATTTTTAACACGTTGACTACCATTTATCTGATTACAAATATAGTGCTTGAAATTTCTTTATACGATAAATCACATTCTTTTTATCGATCAAAAGTTAGTAGTCAAAGTGTTAAACTCGTTTTGTAGATCTTGCACGACCATTTAGAACCTATTTTACGGTGTGTGCACGCATCCGATCACGAGTGATTCTAAATCGTTCCTGTTCGATTAGCCGCGGTGCTAGGTGCTGATTAATTGCCTCCTGCTGTTCCGGAATACCCTTTCTTTTGCTTCGACGCCGTTTCGATCATTTTCTAGCCGGTGTACCGTTAAACGTGAAAGTTACATCGCGGAGTCGTTAACGCTTTTATTAGGGATATACGATCGTTTGCTTTTTAAATTTCTCTTTTTCGTTATTAACCCTCGAATGCTGGGCAAGCGGATCGTTTCGGACCTTCGAGACGGAGCTAACGTTCGGAAAAAGAAAGATTTTGCTACATTGACAAGTTGTTCGTAATGTAGGAAAAAAACGGTCACCGTCTCGACGATCCATCGACCGCGAGTCGAACACGACGAATACGCTCGTTTCCCGATGATCGATCTCAAGAACGATCGAGGCGCCTGCAGATCCCCGTTTGCTGGTCAAATGCAAATCAGGCCGGGCTTTTAAATCGTTTTAATGCTACCGGGCATCCATGCATGAAGAGCGAAATATTAGAAAGTCCGTTCGATACGGTATCCGTATCGATCGGGACTTCCCCTTATATCGGTTCGCCGTGAATCGGCAGGATCGATCCCGATCACCGGTCAACCTCGATGTAACCAATCGTTTTACTTCTTAGCTGATTAACTTTCACGTTTCGAAGTTGCTTAGAAAGTAACCTGCTAGAACGATTATCGAATAAAACTGTGTTTCTCGGACGACTTGTTCGACTTGCCAAAGCAAATAGTCACCGACAAAAGAAGAGGAGAACCCTGGCACCGCGTTATCGATTGTTAGCTAAACGTTCCCTAAACTACTTTCGAAGGTTCCATAAAGTTCCAAGCTTTCTTCGTCCTTTCGCGCTTCTCCCGGTCTCGGATCTCTTTAGGTTTATTAATAGTATCGATTGCCTTTTTTTCCACGACTCTGATCTACCTTCTCTGTTTGCCTTTTGGGTTCTTGATCCACGCTGGTCCCATCGGTATCGCTGATCCTTCGATCCGTGTGTACCGCTTCGTTGTTTGTTTGTAATTTTTTCTAGATGACATTTATATTTTTAACACGTTGACTACCATTTATCTGATTACAAATATAGTGCTTGAAATTTCTTTATACGATAAATCACATTCTTTTTATCGATCAAAAGTTAGTAGTCAAAGTGTTAAACTCGTTTACGCTTGGGGTTGTTCAAGGTTTGAAGGAGAGGCTTGAAGTTTATGATTTCCGAAAGAATCATGCTCGATCAAAGGCTTCTTCGGTTTTTAAATCGAAGCGATTTGTTCTCTTCATCTTCTCTTCGGCAATACTACCATAGATAGGTTTCATTCACCGGGTGGATGTGAACGTAAATGATAAGAAATTATTGTAGAATATTCTTGAACCCTTTCGGTGCTCGGCCCGAATAATAAAGGAGGATATTTTTGATGCATTTCAAATCTTCTGATTAAACAAATAAAAGCGCTGTTAACACTTTGACTGCCGCATGTAAAACGGGCTCGTGCAGTACAACATTGAAATTGTATATAATTAGTTAATTCACGATCTTAGATCTTTCTGTTCGTTTTTTAATTTACGTCAGATTCGAATCGGTGTTCATCGACGAATCCATAGCAGTCAGCGTGTTAATTCGCGTGTGTTATCCCTAAGATTTGGAAACTTTTCTGAACTAATCCTTTTATCACCGCATTTGTTTAAAAGATTGAATTTCCATGAAACGTTGTACCACATGGGTGGTACGTATCAGATCGGAACGTTGTTCGTAACGCGAACGTGTACGATCTAAAGGATGAAATATTTGATCGAACAAAGCGCGTTTCGTGGAAATCGTTAGCGAGTCGTTGGCGGCCCATTGGATCGCGTGGAGAGATCCACAGAATCGATGCTTACCCTTCGAGCGGACAACCCCCGAAAAGAAGAGAGTCGAAAAATCGATGGGACCGCTTGGCAATTTCGTTCTTATATTCCTGCCTTCCAGGAGCACTGTTCGTAAGAGAGAATAGCAAAGCCAGGAGAAATCGTGTCGTAAGGTACACCTATTTTCCAAGGGGGGTGGTTCAACCAGCCCGAAACAGTTGGAACGGGGTGGTTGGGCATACCTTTCTGGGTCGAGTGGACGTTTCGTTCGCAACGGGATAATTAACGAAGAGAATGTATGTACGGTATGCACGTGAACGAGTGTGGTCGTTGGTATGTGTGCCAAAAGTATGGAAGCAAAGTGGATGAGGGATCTAAGCATCGTACGCACCTTTTAAATACGAATTACATGGACACAGATACAGACACAGACACACGTTGACACACGGATTTAAACGTGAGGGCACAAATCGCGTGAAAGAGATTTTAGGGTATATCGACGACAGTGCCACGAAATAATAAACGCGAAAGTAACGGAGATAATAGAAAATTAAAGAGGAATCAGGGATAAAGAGAGGGTTGAACACAAGGCGCACAGGAGAAAAGAGGATAGGAGAGAAAGAGAGAGAGAGTGAGAGAGAGAGAGGACGGTATGGAGAACCTCCTTGTATATAGTTATTATATAAATATATAAATATATATATATAAATAAATGAATAAATAAATATTATATATATTATTATTATTATTAATTGATTGATCGGTTCGATTAATCGATCAAAGGATATGATTATCTTGATCAGTTCAGAAAGTATTGTATTTTGAAGCAATAAAAAATGAAGATTTTTTATGAAAGAAAATTTGAACAATGGGGTATACGTATATTTCAATAATTTCTCCGAAACATGTACGTACAAATTATTGCGATCTAACAAAATGACTAGCGAAGCAATTTATGAAGTAAATTCGAAGTATATGATCGTTCCTATTGTTCGTCTTTTAATTTAATTAATAATTTCTAGTTTTGGTAGAAAAATGTCTACTTTTTGAGGTGATCACGGTGATCTAGCTGTTTGATTAATTAATCGATGTACGGTAGGTGCGTAAGGAAGAAAGAGAGAACGGATATAGACTTTACTGAAGATATTCTAAGTACCTTGTCTAAACGAGAAACAGCGAAAGAAGCGTGGAAATACGTGCGTGTTTGAGAGAAGACAAAGAGAGAGAAAGAGATAACGAAGAGGAGAAATGAAGTAAGCAATCGTTGCCCAAAGTTATATTTACGATAATTTGTCCGTTTCTTTAAGAACGCGTTTCCGTTTTCGATGCCTAGCCGACAATCAATCTCGACGATCTTCCTCGATCTGCCACCACTGATTTTCCTTTATTTTTTTTTCCGCTTCTTCCGTTTCGTTCTTGTTCTTGATCGTCGAGATCGATCGAACGGTTCAGAGGAAATATATAGGTGCATAGAAGAAATTCGTGGCGTACGTAAAACGCCGGAAACGATTTAGGTAAAAAGGAAAAAAAGGGAAGAAAAGAGAGATGAACGCGTGTACTGTGTAGATAATTTCTTGTTACGGCGCCGCGTGTGTGTCACGTTTCGCAAGCTCAATTTCTCGCGAAAAAAAACAACAATTTTCCTTTTCGTTTCGCCGAGAACAACCGTGTTTTACTTTTTCGTTTCATATTTTTTTTTCTTGTTCCCTCGACTATTCCTTCCGACACACACACACACACATACACACATATACGCGACACACATCGAGATGCTTGGAAAAATAATGAAGTTAGCGAGACGCGACACGTCGGTGCTTTACCTGTGCTCAAGTTGTTTAAAACTATTAGTTTGTTACTAAGACGAAGAATAGAACGAATGGATGCGAGAGTGAAAGACGAAGAAAGAAACGACGAGTGAAAGGTACGCGTGGATGAAGACAAAAGAGAACGAGAGAGGGTTGAATCCACGCGTTGACTGTCATGGGGTGATTCTTCGATGAAGGGTAAGTCATTTTCCCTTTTTCCCTTTCTCTTGTGTAATACAAGACTTCAATAAAGATTCGAAGACTTATCCAATTTAATGAATTAACCCTCGATCGGCAGAGGCCAAGTTAACCCACACCTAAAATTAAGAATCGATGTTTCTAAGATAATTTCGTACATAACGTTCAAAGAACTTAATATTAAATTTTATCTCCGAGTGGGTCAGCAGAGACCCGCCCTGCCGTACAAGGGTTAACTTTAACAAATATTTAACCCTTTCGACCTATTGGTAAAATCTACAAACTGTCTTTTGCGCTGTTCTTGATTTTTAAAATTATCTCAAAACTTACACGAAGGAAAATGTTCACTCGTCGAAGGGGTTAAACAAATTTTGAAAGCGTCACATTAAAATGAAATGAAACGACTGTATCCTTAGTAATTGTTATTAACAATTATCACCGTGGCAGTCAACGCGTCGGTGTGGAAGAATTTCACTCGCATTCAGACTCTCGTGTTTTCTTCTCCTCGACGTTAACCCCCTTTTTTTAATCAACGATGTCAACGACTTATCATAATAGCGCGTATTATCGTTTAATTTGACAGAAACGGGGATGCGTCGAGGATCGAAGAAGCGTACGTTCACGCAAACGATGTTTCCGGCGAAACATTGATCATATAAAACGAACAAAGAAAAAGAGAAAAAAGATACGAAGACTCTTGATTAGTGATCCATCTTTCTTTTTCTTTTTCTTTCGATTTGACTTCGAAATATGAACACGGGAGAGTACAGGACGAGAGTCGAAGATTTTGTTTTTTTTGGGGGTGTATGGGTGATTTTACAACGTCTGATACCCCCGCGCTTTAATTGTGATCTTTTTTCTGTCTATCCTTTAGTTTCCATTGATTATTATTTTATTATTATTATTATTATTATTATTTTATTATTATTATTAATATTATTATTATTATTGATATTATTATTATTAATATTATTATTAATATTATTATTATTATTATT